TGGATTGCGAGTGACTTGGTTTGCGAGTGTTCTGCAAGACGAGCAAACATTTCTAATACATTTTAACATGGTAAACGAATGATGTGTTGCAATACGAGTAGTTTGTTTCCAGAGCGAATTATGCTCGCAAACCAAGGTATTACTGTATTCAGTCAATGAATTATTTCTTGTAACTTCATATTATGTTTTAATGTCTATTAGACCTATGTTCACTTTTTACTTTGTCACCTCACTTTTATAAACTTCTTAGCACAATGACTGAAGCTCCTTCAATTAAATTGGACATAAGTTTGGCACTACATAGATAAGACTTAATAATAATTTTATTTTTATGATTCTTTAATACTTGTTAATAGGAAATAGAGAATAGTATAAGGAAGAAAGCAAGAAATCGACCATAAGCCCACAACTCAGAGAATGGCATAATTAATATGTGATTTTTTTCTAAGTTTATAAATGTACGTAATGAAGGGTTCTGCACCCAATTCCGCTATGTGTATATTGGGGGGAGGGCTCCCCACACTAACAAGCAATGCTCAAACACCAGCTAGGTATTCAGCCATTCAACACAATTCTGACATAAGAACATTTGGGATAATGCAAGAGAACTCCCTTAGAAGGTTGAAGGTGGAGCAAACGCCCACAGAATACAATGCAGTGAAGGGGGCGCCTACCATGGATCAGAATTGGGGTCTAATCAAGGGATATTTCCACCCTAGGGTAGAGACCCTTGCAATGTCTGCCTGGTAGCATTCCAGAACTGCTACAGACTATTGATTGCTATCTGTATCCTATTCCTCTCCATTTTGAGAGGAGTTTATGGTGATTATCCTGTTCCTACTCTACCACTATAGATGAGGTATGGAGGGGGGTGGGGCACAGATATTTTGTTGGTTTGGTGGGCTAGATGATAGAAGTAATGCATGTGTCCCCATATCAAGAGAAGATACATCCAGACCCAACTATTGTGGGATCGCAGACTTTGAACTTGATACGGTGATAGAATAGAACTTTTGGGGTTATTTCCCTGGAAGAGACTATGCATATATTTTGCATGTGGGAAGAAAGGTAAACCTAATATCTAACGATCAGAAGGGCTGATGGTGGCAGTCTAGACTTACTTCCTTGCTCATGCTTCACCCTTTGGAGCACTCTCGCCCCCTAGTGGTTGGGTGGGGCCATGTGATTGAGTTGTGAAGATGGTGATTATAAATTACTTCTAGGCCAGAACATTTACTTTCAATTGCCATTGTGAGTTCCTCCAATGCACTTTTTTTCCAATAGGGTGGCAACACTCAGTCTGCGTTTCTGAGTAACTACAAGAAGCAAATTCCCCTGCAATCCATGTTAGACAGGTAGCATGAATAAAAAACAAACCTTTTGCTTTAAGACACTATGATTTGGGGGTTTATATGTTTGCAGATGAATCTAACCTACTCTGAATAAAATACCTATTTATTGTCCGCCTCTTGCATTAGAAATTAGGCTTAATGGGGATCATAATGTATATCTTGCTTTACGTTATATGCCAGATATTTATCACTATACTGGCTCCTAATAGGTGCTAATAAATAGCTCTTGAATTAATAAAGGGGAGAATTCCTTAGCATAACTAAGGTTTTTGTTCTAGTAACAGCTCCCTCCTGACAAAAATTTCTGTATCAGTCAAGAGTCACTCAGTGTTGCTACAGTATTAAACACCCAAATCTCAGTGTCTTGACCCAACAAGTTTAATTATTATTTTACTACATATCCATTATGGGATAAGGGAGATCTGCTCATTTGAGTCCCTCAGGAACCCAGGCTGACTGTAGTCACTGCTACTGTCTTGCAAGTTGCTGGTTGCAATAGCAGAGGGATTAAAGAGCTCTGAAGGGTCTTGCTTTGGCAAGTCTGGAAGTGATTCATATTACTTCTCCTCATAACTAATAGGCCAAAATTAGTTACATGACGTTATTCAACCACAGGAAGCCAAGAAGAGCAATTCTCTCTTGTGCCCTAAAAGGCAGACAAAAAGGAATATTGGTTGAACACCATGAATAACAAAATAGGTTGGGGAAAAAAAAACCAGAAGTGAAAATATTTGTGATTATTGAAGTGAAGGGGGAAATAAAACTGGGCTATATGATAGAAGTAATTCAGTGGGTGGTCTGGGAGGCCTCTCTGAGGAAGTGACATTTGCACTGAGACCTCAAAGCTCAGGAGTGAGCAAGAATTAAAAGAGCATTCCAGACACGAAACAACAAGCACAATGGCCCTAGGGTGTAATGAGCTTGGTTTTTCCTGAAACGGGCAGAAGATGAGATCTATGGGAACCAAAGAAACAATGGAAGTGGGAGGGGCGTTTCATGAGCTAGGAGAGACGTCAGGATCAGATCACTGAGTATCCTGAAGTCTATAACAAATAATCAGGGTGGTGTCCTAAATGCACTAGGAAGCCACTGAAAGGTCTTAGGACAAGAAGCGCATGTTCGATTTATGTTTTAAAAAGGTAATTCTGGCTATATGGGGAGTCACTTGAAAAAGAGTAAGAATGAAAATGGGGAGACCAACTCAGAGTATCTGTGCAGTGCAGACAGATGATAGGGCTGGAAAGGGGTGTGGCAGGGAGGGGTAAATCAGTAGTGAAGATGGCAAGAAGTAAACCAAATAAGGCATTTTGAAGGACTACTGATGGATGGACTATGAGGGAACGGTAGAAGTTATTTATGACTCCCACTGTCAAAGATAAAGCAAGATGCTGGTTGAAGTGGTAAGGGCAGATTTTTATCAGTAATAACTACTGCAATAGGGAAAAGACTTTGCTATGAACTGAACTCAGCTTTGTCTGGACAGAGGTGATTGGGTGTTTTAAAGAAAGAATGAGGAAATAGAATGGGTAGGGTCTCAGTAGAGTCAGGAAAGTGGAAAAATTTAAAAAGGTTAGTCAGTAGAAATGTGATTAGGCCAGCTGTGTCCACTAGCTGCCAATTATGGAAGATTCTACCCTCCTACAGAGACTGGGAGACAGAGGCCCTATCCTCGAGTGTTGGCTGGGACAAATGGGAGAAAAAAGAAAACTTTTTTTTTTTCAGCTTTGATTTTTATCAAGCAGGAAATTTAAGGAGGACTAGGGCAGCAGTTCTCAACCTTCCTAATGCCACGACCCCTTAATCCAGTTCCTCATGTTGTGGTGACCCCCAACCATCAAATTATTTTCGTTGCTACTCTATAACTGTAATTTTGCTGCTGTGATGAATCGTAATATAAACATCTTTTTGTTTTCCGATGGTCTTAGGCGACCCCTGTGAAAGGGACGTTGGACCCCCAAAGGGGTCGCAACCCACAGGTTGAGAACCGCTGGTCTAGGACAACCTTAGGGATGTGGTCTTGAGCTGCTAGAAACTATGCTAATCTTTATAGACCAAGGTTGAGGCCTAGTCAAGACAGGGCTCAAAGGAAGCTGGCTAGAGTTTGGTCAAGGAGAGAATCTTTGTCGCCATGCTTCTGGCTTTAGTGACAGGGTGATTGGTGGTGGTATTCACAGAGATGGGAAGGTCTAGGGGACAATTAGGTTTAAAAATCTAGAGGAGATTAAATCCTATTTTGGACATGTTAAGTTTGAGACATTCAAATGGGTAAGAAGTTAACTATAAGCATGGGTCACATAGAAGGCTGGACTAGAGCTATAAATCAAGAGCTGTCAGCATGATCTACCTCAAAGATCCCACAGGTGGGAGGAACAGGAGTTAAAGATTTACCTAACAAATTCCTCCTTGAGATTTGTTTCCAGAAGTGCATCATGAAGTATATGGTTGTATTTCTAATGGTCACAAAGTAAAATGAACAGAATAACAATCAAAGCTGCTGTTAAATATTTGAAATTTTTTTTTCATTTGAAACCTATCTCTATGTGCTGTCTCTAAATGATACCCCTCCCCCAATTACATTTATTAAACTCTATTGTTTTTCCATTTTACACATGTGGAAAACTGAACAGAGAAGTAACTTGCCCAGGTGACACAAAATTAGTAAGGGTCCGGTCCTATATTGAAAACTAAGCAATCTGGTTCCAGAGTCTGTGTTCTGAATCCTTATATGGCAACAAGCATCGTTAAGTAGTTTGGTTTTATTTGCTTAATGGGACATACATAATGACTTTAAATACATAATAGTGCAATAAGTGTTTTTGTTGGATCTCTCTATGCTCGTGTGTGCACGTCTGGGTCATAAGGGCTGAGACACAATTCATCTGGTGGCTGTGCCTCAAGGCATTACAGCCATGTTCTGGGAAGAGTAGACTGGCTTCACTAGGCAAGTCCTGAAGCTTCAAGCCCTTAAAAACAGATGAACACAGAATTCTAAAAATGCAATTGTACAGGACAGTGAGGTTTGCTCTGCCCTATGGCATTACACTGATGTCCTGGGTCCTGGACATGATTTGCTGTCAGGGAAATGAGAAAAACATGTTCCCCACCTCGCTGAAGTTTTCCCTCTGCAGAACATTATACGTAGTAGTAGCACAGTAAATTCTCATTGTTGTCATTAGGATTATAAAGTTTCTTGAGCACAAGGATCTTTTTCCTTTTTTTCCCCTGTACCCTAGATGACTTGTAGGGGTCCAAATGATGCTTGATAGCAGAGGAAGGGAGGAAGAGAGAAAGGGAGAGAGAGAGGGAAGGAATTCAAAGAGTCCTACTGGCCACTTTTAGGTGAGCAAGATGCCCTCCAAGGTTTTTTCCTTTTCGTTGTTAAATGTTTCCCTTTTTCTGGGTGCAGAAACGTCCTCACCCTCTCTGAAATACTAACTCTCCATCCTTACTCGCTTTCTGCCCTTCCAGCCCTGACCCCTTCCTCCACCCGCCTCCCAGAGTCCCGCCCCCATTCCTCCCGCTCCAGACGGCGCAGCCACTGCGCCTGCGCACACCGGGTTGCTCCCCCCCCCCTCCCTGCGGGCCTTCGGGGCGGGCTCCTGAGAGCCACGAGGGGAAGAGGAAGAGGAAGTTGGGGGAGGGACCTAGCTGGGAGTGAACCGGAAGTGTAAAGGCTCCGGCTGCTTCTCGGCCAGGCGGAACCTGTTCGGCTGGGCCTGGTGGCCGCAAGAGAACTTTCTCCCGCCCTCACGGTTGCCGCGGCCAACGGCCTCGCCCGCCTGGCAGCCTCGCCCACCTTCTCTCCTTCTCCCCGCAGGCTCGGCGCGCTCCGGTCTCCCTCTCGCCCGGCGGTATCCGCTTGCCGCCGCCACCGCCACCGCCTCCTCGCCTTTTGCCCCGCCATCGGGCCCGCCCCGCTGCAGTAATGTGCGACAAGGAGTTCATGTGGGCCCTGAAAAACGGAGACTTGGATGAGGTGAAAGACTATGTGGCTAAGGTGAGCGGCGACGGGATGGCGTAGGCGACAGGACGGAGGTGGGATGGGGATGAGGCCGAGGACGCTGACGGGAGCTGGGCTGGCGGGGCCGCGGGTCGCGGGCTGCGGGCGGGGGCGAGAGCGACACCCTGGATGGAGCTGGCGCCAAGGAGAGAGGGGCGTCAGGGATCCTCTAAACTGAAACGGGGGGTCCTGATGACGGGCGCGTTCTGGGTCCGGTACCGCCGGGCTCTCCTTGCTTTCCTGACCCCTTGGGGGGAGGGGGGTAGGGGACCGGCCCTGGTGGAGCCGCTTCTGAGCACCGATCATGTGAGCTTGGCCCCACTTCTACGCCAGGTACTAAAATCGTTTTTTTTGAAGGGGGTAATTCCCCACCTTGAACCTGCCCATCCCTGAATGAAGTGGCCTAGGTGATTAGAATCAGAGGAACTTTTTTTTTTTTTTAACTGTGGGGCAGGTAGTGCATGTAACCTATTCATGCACCGTGAAAAAGTACCCAAAAATAGCAATAGTTACAGTGATGAAACTTGGGGTGGCTTCACTGCGGGGAGCTTTAACTTTGGGTGTGGCCGTTTTCCTCTCCCCCACTACAAAAAAAACCAAAAACACATATTTGCTCCAAGCGGGAAGGCTGTCAGTTAGCATCTGGGAGTGTTTTAAGATGCTGGAGTAGTTTTCAGACGAGCATGTTAACTTCAGTTACTCCAACTTTCTCCTTGATTGCCACCTGAAATGCGCACACGTGTGTAATCAATGGGAACGCAGTTTAGTCGCAGTCTATTTGAAGGTAAAATCATGATGAAAAGACAGCTCATCACAAAACTGAACTCGAAATAGAAAACTGAATCCACGTTATGGTGGACTGGTAAAATTCCAAGCTGGCCTGCCTTTGCACCCCGAAACGGTGCTTTTTGTTATTATGAGGGAATTTACATGGGATTTTGTTATGATAATCTAAAGAGAAATCGTCCAGAACAAAAGTGTAACTTGATGACATAATCACGGAGTGCATTTTGCATACCGAAAAAGCGTGAAAACCCAGTCCAGGTTTTAGGTCTTCACAGGCTATGCACACCAGTATGGTGCTGTGTGTTTGCTTCACAGATCTGTGTTACGAAGCAAGTAAGCAGAAGCAGAGTTTCTTAAAACTTGTAGGCTTGTGCAAGGCAAACTAGTGATAGTTTTTACTCTGTTTAATACCATTACAGTTAGACTTTTTGCGTGCAAATCATCTGCTTGGTTGTTACTTGCAGTGGATTTTTAGGACGCTGTTCTCAGCTAGTGGCAGGCTGAAACCTGACTTACTGAATGTTTCAGTGTAAGATTAAAGGAAAGAAATTACCTGGAACACTTCAATTCATGGTCCACTTTATAGTGGTGGGGCAGTGCAGTACTCTGGAAGTGAGTGGGCTTTTGTTTTTCTGTTACTGTGGAACCTTGAAATACGGAAAGTTGATAACGACTAACTCAGCTTACAGTAACAAAAATAACACAATTATGTAGTGTCTTCCTGATACATGTATTTTATATCATCCCTGTGCGTATTGTGAAGTAAGTCCTTTTATGAGTCCCAGTTTACAGGTAAGATTATTGGGATGCAGGGTACTTAAAAAAAAAAGTCCAAAGTTACAGAGATAACAAATGAGAAGCCAGAACTAAACTGCTGACTCCAAAACTTAGACTCTACCTGCCCTATGCAGCCTCTCACAATCCAAAATGCAATCGCGAAAGCATGATACCAAGATTTCCAGTAGAGCCTTTTCATGGTCCACATCCAGCAGATAATTTATATATGAAGAGTTCTCAGTCACACACAACAATTATGTAAAAATATATGCCAAAAGCGATGGATTACTTTGTTTTCAGTTAGTTTTTAAATTAGGTCATTATGTTCAGTTTGATTTTGTTTTTTTTCCTATTACTACCATACTGCCGACTCTCATTAACAACAACCAAAAAAAAAAAAAAAAAGATGTGTATGAAAGAGAGGATAGACATTCAAAGAAAAGTAAAAGGAAGTAGTAAGAACTGGTTTATCCAAAAAGGTTTGACTGTAAACTAATCCTATAAACAGATCATTGAGCTTTTTCCTTTCTTAGTTCTTACTGAGTAACTCAAGTCTCTTAAAATATCTTTTGCTTTGTTAATGAAAAATAACAAAAAGTAACCAAGAACTAGCACCCCAGATTTTGCTTACAGAGCTCCCATATTATCCACACTCCAACTGTCCTTTGGAACAGTTTCTTCTGCTCAGGAGCCATCTTCCCTGCTTATTCATTGACTCGCCTTTTTCATCCACCAGTTTATGAGCACACATTACCGTTGTCCGAGTTTACGTGATGTGCATTTATCTGTGTACAAAGAAACTCCATGGAGAAACATGTGGGCTTGTCTAGTGTTCCTTCTAAGGGGTGAGAGGCTCTAAAATGTTCTCCTGGGAAGATCTCTCACATGGTTAACATACAAGAGTGGACCTGTAGGTGACGCATTTTAGTAGTCTTCCTTTTTAAATTAATATTTTTTTAAAATCAATAATTATGTTTTTCTACCAGCTTCTGACTCCTGTACAGAAATCTGAAGTACTGGTAGGCATAAATTGTTAGCTTTGGGTAAGTTCTTGAACCCTGAAAAATCAGTTCCAAGTTCCCATACCATTGAAAATTGTATGGTTCTAAATGGGGAAAGCAGCATATAAAGGAAATTTTAGATTACTCAATAAGAAATGTTTATCTTTAACATTAAAACAATATTGGAAACGTTTGGCTTCTTGACTAACCTAAAGACCATATTTAGTTAATCATCCGTTTTTATTGGGCACCGTTCAGGCCCCAACCACTTTGCTAGCTAGGCCTGGTGGCATGATCGTGAACTTAGACACAATGCTCAGGAAACTTAAGCATCTATATTCAGCAGACCTGTATGAAAAATATTTCATTCTTTTTAGTGTGCAAATTATATAAATAACATCTCACAAAATTCAGCTTGTTCAGTTGGAAAACAAGTGAAAGCCAGTATATAAGATATTCATGAGCAGCCATAGTAGATATTCATAGCCCCATTTGCAGTCTGTGTACTTCCTCTGGGTGATATTTTTGCCTTGTATCCCATTTTTGCCTTAATGTTAATTTCTCCCACTGAGTTAATTCAGCCCTCACCTAAGCTCCAGACTGCCTAATGGGTAGCTCTCTTCAGATAAATTCCGAATTGAGCTTGTGTTTTCTTCTTCAAAACTTCCTATTTCTGTTGTCTCCATTTTGACCAATGACTTCATGACCCAACCATTTGCCCAAACTAGAAATTGGGGAATTTTCTACTTTTTACGTTTCTCTCATTTACTCCTTGTTCTCTAGTCTTATTGTTACTACTTTAGATTAGTTGTTGCTTCTTTCCCACCTGGACTGTATTGTTCTTGACTATATAGTTTTCCCCTCCCGCCTGGTTAACTTGCACATCTTAGCTGGAGGGAGCACTCGATAATGTGAATCTGAGCTTGTTATCTTTTTCAGCCAACCTCCTTCACTCTTAAAATACTTTCCTGATTCCCATCATTTATTCTAAGAATGGCCAACTCCTCCTTGGTTTGGCATACCTGCTGGTATGATGGAGGCCTCTGCTTGCCTTTCTAAACTCACCTCTCTACCAGCAGCACTCTGCCCCAGACCCTGCCATGCTATTTCTTGTGTATCTTTACATGTGGTTTGTCATCCTCCTTGTTGTCTAAGTCTGCTCACCTCAATCCCCTGCCTGGTGAGCTCCTGTTTATCCTCTTAGCTTAAATATCATCTCTTCCAGAAAAACATTTTGAATTCAAGCGAAGCGCAGCTGCTTGCACTGTTTCACTTATCAAATTGCTGTGTTTTGTTTACATGTCTGTTTTTAATTAGGATCTGAGCCTCTGGTGGGTAGATACTGTATATATATTTTTTCATCTTTGTATCTCCGGTATAGTGCCAAGGAATTGCACACATTAAAAGCATATGTTCCAAGTAAGAAATTCTTTGTATTCTTAACTTAGCTATAGTTACAACATACTTCGTTAGTTATATAATGATAATTATCATTGACAGGATGATTTATATTGCCAGGTACTGTAAAGCATTCTGCAAGACTTTTACCTAAATTTTCATTTGCTTTTTACCACAGCATTTCAGAACAGGTAATAGTATTCCCATTTTAAGGATGAGGAAATTGAAGCTCAGAGAAGTTAAGTAATTTAACAAGGTCACAAAGTAAGAAGTGCAACTGCGATTTAAACCCAGAGCTGTCTGAATCTACATCCCGTATATTTTTCACCATATCAATCTGCCTTGAAACAGTTACCTGGTTTCTTAGCGCACAGGTTAGAATCAGCACATTAAGAAAATGAGAAAGGGGCTTGTAAGAGCAGGCACAAATTATCTCTGACTATGAGTGAAGAGTACAAAAATGGCTACAGTTTAAAAAAATTTAATGTAACAATCTGAAAATAATTAGCATGGAGACAACAGCTCTGTAAACTTCAGATCTCTTCAGAGGCTATCTTTGCTTAAGGCATGTCCATAAAGAGTCTATTTGATAGCTTGTGGAAACTTCTTCTGTATTTATAGTCACACATAATCTTATGTTATTTTTATAATCCTGATATATAGTACAGAAAAAATCAAATTGTGTCTGCTTTAGGGAGAAACAAAAGTAAAGTATTGTGATTTCTATTCATAATGGTTTAGCACTTTTTTCAAAAAGTAATGTTCTTGAATTGTTATGTATTTGAGCACTGTGATGCTGTGTACAGGTGGTATAATATCATTGACTTGTCACATCACATCAACCTTTAAGCATAAACTCATTTTAGAGATGAAGAGACTGAGGCAAAGATTAAATAACTTGCCCGAGGTCATAAAGTTTTTGAGTAGTGAAGCTGAGATTTTAAAACTGAGTGAGTCTCTCTGACTTCAAAGTTCCTTGCTATTACATTTCATACCATTCACTTCATTTTTCAGTAATGCTAATCAGCGGATACT